AAGCGTAGGGGCCTCCAACCAAACAGCCAAGGCCATATTCGTCTTGGAGGCGCGAGGCGGGCCCCATGCAGCCGCTCTGGTCCGGGCTGTTGAGGATCTGGTCGATGCCGAAGCTGATGGGCTCCGCGTGGCCCGGGTGGAGATGGTGCGGACCCAGGTGCTCCATGCTGGCCCCCAGCCCCGGCCCCGCGGGGGGGCCTGGGCGGCGGCGCTCGCTGTGCTTGGCTCGGGGGGCAGCGCGGAGGGGCGCGGAGGCGGCAGTGGCGCCTGGCTGCGCGGAGACTTGGAGGCGAAGTGCGCAGGAGGGCTAAAGTAGGAGGGAGGGGAAGAAGAGGGGGCGCCGTATTCTTCCCCTCTCCGGCTGCTCTTTCCCCTCTCCGGCTGCTCGCTAGCTGTTGACTCTGGGACATCAATCACCGAGCGAAAAAGCCCGGTGCGAGCGAGCCCTGCCGATTCGGCCGGGTCTCTCTATTGGCTGTGCGCGGAGAGGAGCGGGCTGAATGACAGCGCGGGGGAGGGGCGGAGAGGGGGAGAGGGAGGCCGGGAGCCGAGACAGATGCAGGAGCCAGAGACAGAGGGACGGAGGCCGAGGCTCAGAGAAGTAGTTCAGGAAGAGACAGAAGAGGGGAACCAGACACTTAAAAGGAGAAAGAAAAAGAGCAGGAGGCGGCCATTCCCAGAGACCGATAGACAGAAGACGGACCCAAAGAAGTGGAGGTCAGGCCCTCTTTCCAGCCTGGCAGGAGCCGTCCCCTCACTTTAAATTGGGCCAAAGGGGTCCAGCCTATGAAGCCTCTGGGGAAGAGATGTCCCTGTGCTACTGGAGAATCTTCCCAGGGCCTCAGCTGGGAAGCACCTGTCTGTCAACCAGAGGATTTACTCCAAACTTCAAGTCTGGCTCTTTAGAAAGAAGATGACTGTCTACTCCTCAGGTATGGAGCCTAGGCCCCTGAGGCAGGAAGGTGAGTTCAGGCTTGTCCTTCTTTAAAACACTGACCTGTGAACAACTGGCTATACATTGTTGAAAATATCAACAACCACCCCAACTCAGCCTGTTTAGAGAAACTGAGGAAGGAAAGACGTCCTGAAAGTCAGGCACAAGTCAAGGGAGTTGGCTTGGGGCCTGCTGCCAGGGTGCCCATGCCTCATGATACCCCTTTCCTTTTAAACAAACCGATGCCTCAAGAAGCAGTTCCCCCAGTATGTGAATGAACTCAGTCATATTGCTTTCACCCAGCAACCCGCCCAGGACTGGCTATTCTAAGCAAGAAACCTTGGGACTATGGTGAGGGGAAAGAGTTATTTTCTCACTTTTGGCATCTTGGGAGGGAGGCCTAGGGGCCTAAAGCAGTGGGGGCTGGGGGTGGTGGGACCACCATCAGGGAAGTGCATCCAGGACAAATTTAGGCCTTTTTAAAGTTTTGCCTGTGGCTGCCTGGCTTAGAGCCCAGGAGAGAAGGAGGAAACTCCCTTTTTCTGCTTCCTCTCTTTCCCGTCTCCAGTAGGGAAAGGTCCGTTCCCTCCCAGGAGCCAGGTTCTGGGAAGGACGCAGGTTGGATCACTTGGGATCTATTTCTGGTCTATTTCAGATTCAAATAGATTTAGGTAGAATAGATTCTGGTCTATTTCAGGCCCTCAGGGAGGGGCTGTCTGTATCAGGCAAGATGCTAGAATGTGAAGGTTCATATTCTACTTATCATGTCTCGTTGCAATATATTTGCTTTGGCCACGTCTGCTACTTCCACTTGAAGAGAGAGTGTTCCCACCTGTGCAGTACAGCCCCAACCCACAAAATATACTCATCTGGAGTGAAAAACAAATGAAAGAACCTCCTTATTCCACAAATGTTTATTGAGTACCTACTAGGTGTCAGGCATTGTTCTTGGCATTAGGATAACAGCAGTGAACCAAACAAAGTTCCTGCCCTCATGGAGCTTACACTCTATAGAGGGGTCAGACCATAACAAAGAAGCAAATTCAATAAGCCAGATGGTAATTGTAACGGAGAACACTATAACCTCCACACCAGCTCTTTGAGATGAGCATTGCCCCTATTTTACAGATGAAAGGAAACCAGATTTCAGAGAGGCTAAGTGACCTGATCAAGATGGAGGAGCTGGATTTGACTTGCTTTTATGGGTTAGCCTGGAAACCCAGCTGCTGGTTAGAAGCACATCTCTATGGGGAAAACCTTGTCTGGACTCCAGGCAGGTGAACAAAGGCCCACTCAAGACAAAGCCAGATGTGGAGCTGGTGGTTGTTTGTAAACACTAAGCAGAAACATGAGGGGAGAGCTCCAATCCCTTGCCAGTTCTCTCCTCTCTCCTCTCCCCCACCCAATCCAGATACTACCTCCTTACCCAGGAGGTCCCATAACTTTCTTTAAGGGTTGTTGTTTGAACCTGAATTGTCTCTTTCCTGCTTCTTACCTTGAGGGAACTAAAGTATAGATAAACATAAATGTTTTACTGAGAAACTACTGTGTGCCAGCCACACATCACGCTGATCTCATTTGAGACTCACAACCACCATGTGAAGTTAATAGAAACATCCCCATTTTTTTAATAATTAAGAAAATGTAATGAATGTTCATAGCAGTATTATTTGTAACGGCTAAAAAGTGGAAACAACTCAGATGTCCATCATCTGATGAATGGATAAACAAAATGTGGTATATACATACAATGGAATATTACTCAGCAATAAAAAGGAAGTCCTGGTTCATGCTACAACATGGAAGAACCCAGACAACATCATGCTAAGTGAAAGAAGCCAGGCACAGAAGGCCACATATTGTATGATTCCATTTATATGAACCATCCAGAAAAGGCAAATCCATACAGGCAGAGAGTAGATTAGTGGTTGCCAGGGGTTAGGAGGAGGGGAAAGTGGGAAGTGACTGCAAATGGATACAAGTTTCCTATCTGGAGTGATGAAAATATTCTGGAATTAGATAGTGGTGATGGTTGCACAACTTTGTGAATATACTAAAAACCACCGAGCTATATGATTTAAAGGGCTGAATATTATGGTATGTGAATTATACCTCATTTTAATTTTATTTATTTATTTATTTTTCCCCCAAAGCCCCAGTAGATAGTTGTATGTCATAGCTGCACATCCTTCTAGTTGTTGTATGTGGGACGCAGCCTCAGCGTGGCCGGAGAAGTGGTGCATCGATGCGCGCCCGGGATCTGAACCCGGGCCACCAGCAGCGGAGTGTGCGCACTTAACCGCTAAGCCACGGGGCCGGCCCGAATTATACCTCATTTTAAAAAAGAAGAAACAAAAACTGAGACTCAGTGAGATGAAGAAACTTGCCCAAAGTCCCACAGACAGAAGAGGATTGATCTGGGATCCCCAAATCTGAACTATTTTCCCTGTATGAGGCTGAAAACTATGGGGGGAGTACTTCAGCTTCCTTTGAGGCTGGGTCCCGGTGGCCCTGCTCCTTTTAGTCAAGAAGTCACAATTGTGTCTAACCACAGTTCTGCCTGCTGCAATTAAAACCGTATCTTTCTAGGTTGTCCTTTGCCATTCTCTGGCCCATACAGGAAACCCCTTGAGAGTTCCTAACACTCTTCCCCTTCCTTCCTTCTTCTTTGTCCAGCTGCACCTTTCCAGCCCCTATGGCTTTCTGACCCTGCCTGTTCCAACCCTTTGGGCATCCACTTCACTCACCTCTTGAACTCCTCAGATCTGGCACCCATTGTCCAAGGTACCTGGGAGGAGACCTCATCCTTGCTGGCCCAGTCTAAGGTTGGCAGAGGTCACAGCTAAGACTGACAGGATGCTCTTCTCATCAAAATCCAGCAACCCAGGAACATCCTGAGTTCCCTCTGCTCTCAGAGCTGCCTGGCTGCCTGATCTCTTCTGTAGAAGAGGTTCCCTCTCCTGCTTATCAGAGTCAACTTTTATCCCAATCCAGTACTGAGGTAATGGCCTCCCCTAGCTGGGGTTCTTGGAGTCCAGCTTGACCTCAGCCTTTGTCTTCCAATGGGATATTTGCTGAGGGCGAGGCTTACCCTCTCGGCACGGGAAGACGAGACGAGAGGGTTAGGAGTCATGGGGTTCTGGCCCCCGCCCTCCTGGAAGCAGTGTTACCTGAGCACAGTGCTGCAGGTTGGAAAGTTTCCTGAAATGGGGGAGGAGACTCATGCAGAGCTTATATTCAGTGAAGCTTCTGCATTTCCACAGCGCTTTTGCATGCCTTGCAGAGCAGCCCTGTTAGGAAAGAGGAGAGGAGGGAAAGAAAGCAGGACTTACAAAACACCAGTGATGTCCTAGGTACCTTCAGGCACAGTAATTATCTCATCTCATTGTCAATAAGCCTGTGACATGGCTTTTGTTATCTCCATTTTACAGATGCGAAGACCAAGGCACTGAAAGCTGGAAAGGGACAGAGACTGGACTCAAGTGCTGAACTTCTGACTCCATCATTACAAGCTGCTTCCTCAACACCACACTTGGCAGATGTGGTCCTTGCCTTGCAGGAGTATCTTGCACATGTCTAGGTGCGTTCCAGCCCGGAGGCTGCCTGGTAACAACCCCCCCAAGCACCATCCACCACCCTCGCCTGCAGAATAAAGAAGTGCCTCCAATTAAAAGAGGAGCAGCTGGGGCTGGGGGAGGAGAAAAGGGGGGCTCAGCCAGCGGGGGAGTCCTCTTTGGATCCCACACAGCTCCCTCCCCGCTCTGGGAGAGACCCCTGGGCCAGGGGTTGTCCTTTAGCTTAGGGGTGTGTGTGATAACTTAATTACTTTGTGTTTGTGGGACCGTGCAGCCATGGGGGGAAAGCCGGAGGGGAACGTGTGCATGACAGTGAGGGTAGCTGTGCAGATAGACGAGGCATGTCTTTGAGGAATAATTTTTTAAATTTACCCAACAAATATGTATTGAGTGTCTATTCAATGGATTAGTGTTAGCCTGTTGGGATACAACTGCAAGTGTGTCAGTAAGAGTGGTGGGAGAGAGGAAGAGCTCTGGGTCATTTTTACAACTGGATTTGTCTATGTAAGGATGTGTATGTTGATGAGAATGCAAGTGAGTGTGTGTTTTCTGTAACAGGATAAGAGTTTGTGTCTCTACAACTGTTTTTCTGTAGTGGACACATACGATGAGGTGAGGGTATCCCTCGGCTACTATGTGCAAGTGTAATGTGTGCTGCTGATGGTGTGTGTGCATCCGTGGGAGGGCTGTGTTATTTTCTAGGGTAGTTGTCAGGGAAATGGCCATATGTGGGCCTGTGGGTGTGGAAAGGGTATGCCCAATAGGTATTTAGCAGGGAAAGGGTGCGACAGGCTGAGAAATATGTGAGGGGATATGTAACATGAAGCGGTCCAAGATGGGACCACTGGGGTCTGGAGTCCTGATACCAAATTC